AGATAGTATAGTGGAAACACACTACAGGAGCATGATTAAAGTATCCATCACATACACCTCTTGAACCCTTTCAGAAAATAGAACGCCTTTGTTCAGTTCCTGTTTTCACATGTGAAGACAGACAAGTAATTCCATTCTGAAGATCTAGAAAGCTAATTTGAACTAGAACAAAGCATTCCTGTTTCAAGCTAAACACATTAAAGTAATCACAGGTCACAAGTTTGATATCACCATAGATACCAAGGTGATAAGAGAAGTTATGGCAAGTCTAAACCATTGCCAACAACAGTACTGCAACCTCTAAGTATCCAAGTAACAAGACAAGGACTGAGTCGTCCCCTTTAATCACACTGCTGTATATTTCACATATTATTTCTACACATTTCTAGAGGTGCTACCAAACATGTTATACTCATTTAAGGGAAAAAGATTTATGACTGGCTAAAGTTGGTACCACTCGTGTACAAGCTAATATAGCTGCACTAGAAAACAGTAACAAGGAATTAATTCATATTGTCTTCCCACACGGTAGTGAGCAAAGTGTCCTTGTTCCAAATTCAAATACCCATGCACAGCAATATAGGGCTCATTGTTTTATCTTGATGCATGGCCTTATATACTATTCATCTTTTGATAAACTTTTTGCTCAGCATTTAAACCAGTCAATTACATCAGTGTACAAGCAAGTCTTCAAGCAAGTCTTTAATTATGTCAAAATATAGAGACAAAACCACTATCTTTGTTCAAAACGAAGTATGCACAGTTCTGCAGGGGAACTTTAACGCAACTACCCTTTCGCAAGTCAGTGGCTTGTTCTGGGTCATCGTGTACCCTCCTTCCCTGCCCCCCCTCCAGTTCTTCTTCTGTTGGAATTTTTCTGGCAACTATTCCCCCTCTTAAATTTCAGAAAACAGACAATGAAGCCTCAGCATTTGACCACTTCAGACCACTTCTAGCCCATTCAATAAGCTGCACGAGGAAGTACACATACATGCAGAAAGGGGAGGTCAAACTTCAGTACTTTTCTTTCACCTATGTATTTTGTGGGTTTGCAGCCCCCCCCCCTTTTTTTCCCCCGGGAGGGTACTTTTTGGACATTAGAAGTCAAGTCAGAATAGGTATTCTGTATCATGGATATTGACATGAATGTAGCAACGCAATTCAACCCCCAGTAAATTACAATTGGGTATTGCTCCCCACTGAGCTTGCACAGCTAGGCTCATAAAGAACAAACCACTGAAATCAATAGGGCTGCCCTGATGTAAAAGTTGTGTATGTGGGAAGAGAATCAAGTGTATTGATTACACACATGCTTCACTTCACTTAAGTAATAATCAGCATGCAGGAGTTCTAAGGAAGCATCCTATCAGGCACTCTGAAATTCAAAGTGCAAATGTATGCTAGAATTTGTCAATTGATCTCAGCGAGGTCCTGTATCCTGCCAGCTCATGAGTCATACATTCACTTGCATGCTGCTATCTTAGGTAGCTTCCACAAACCAGAAGACTGTATTAGTTTCTGTATCTTTTCTCCTTTCTTGGATGGTTAATTCTAAGAAAAAAACCCAAGTGGATTTATTGAGGCTTCATACAAAAATACATGGAAGCATACAGAACACCATTCTACTCTCAAATAGTATTTGGGAAAATCTTAAATAAAAGTCCTTTTCTGTTCACCAAGAATTGATAGGACTCATTGGGCTGTCAACTGACTATACACCAGAACTGTTATACACGCTGTCAAACTTGCTAAGTAATTGCTTGTATTTAAAGAGAGCAAAATACGAATCACAATACTATACATCTTTTCAGACAAGTCAATTTAGCCATCCAATAGTCTCCCTTTGACACTGCCCTTTGTACACCACAGAGAGCAAATGTTTTAGACTACACTAGAATCTTATGGAGTATATCTTACTAGACTCGATCAGTTTTAAAGGAGAACAAAATTTACAATTAGCAAGATAGATTACCAATCGACTATTCAAAGACTACACACCCATTTATATGTTGCATAAACTGATACTATTTGACTGCTTTTTTTGCGCATTTACATAACTTCAGCACAGAACTCTGACTACAGAGCCTAGCTGCCAGCAGTACCTTTTCTGAAATCCAGAAAAACGCCACCCAAACAAAACCACCAGGTCCCCAATCTAAACAAAAAACCCAATGTAACACTTCCACTGACTAAAAGGGTTCTCTTTCCGCCCCTCCAACTATTAAAGGAAAGGATCAGAAAATTGTGGCAGGGCAGGCATACTCCAGTTTTATTCCAAGCCGCGCAGATACTAAATACCTTCACAAAATTTTATTCACTCCAAGACACACTCCCACGAAAAACCCAACTCCTCAAAAAATATACGCAACCTCAAAAAACGCAGACGCCCTGAGCCTACCTAAAAAGCCTATTTAAAGTGCTAGACCTTTCCTTAGCTGAACAGCCTCCGAGAGCCACCCAGAAATTGGTCCGTTCCTCCCGGCGGTTCCCTGGCCTCAGCTCTGCCTCCAGAGCGCAGAGCCCCCCCCCTCCCCGGGCTGTCAGACCCCGGCTCATGACAAGGCGCTCTCTGGAGGGCCGGTGGTTTGTGGCCGCCCCCTCCGCGGCCGGCGAGCGGCGCGGGCAGCCCCCGCGGGAGCGAAGAGGCGCTTCCCCTTCGCCAGCACCGCTGGCCTCAAGCGGGGAGGCCCCACCCACACCCCGCCTGGCTACCACAGAGGCCCGGCGGGACGGGCGGCCCAAGGCCCACCCCACCGTGCGGACGGTAAAACGGTATTTCGGGGAGATGGCCATCCCTGGGCCGGGGAGCGCCGGCGGGGCGGGCGGCGCTGCAGCGGGCGGCTGGCTTTTCCCCCGCACATAACGGTCACGGCATGGAGCACAAGCCGTACCCGGGGCCGCCGACCGCGTTCGGCATTAGAACGCAGCCCAGTGGGGCCGCGGGAGCGCAGCGGCAGCCCCGAGCGGAGGGAGGAAGAGGTGCGGCGAGCGGGCAGCCGGAGGCCGCGGCGGGCGGGAGGGGAGGCGGGCCGGCAGCGGCGGGTCGGGAGACGGGGGAGAAGGAGGACAGAGGGCGCCGAGAGGCACCGGGGGCGCCAGCCGGGGAAGGAAATGGCGAAGGGCAGGCGTGGAGCGAACGGCCGGTCGCCGCGGGGAGCGGCGGCGGCAGGGCGGGGACGGGGGGAGAAGCGAGGAGGCTGGATTCGCCCCGCACCCTGTGCCCGCCCGCACACCCCGCCTCCCCCTGCTGCAGAAACTACGCCATTGCGGCCTAGTGCTGGAGTCAGCGCCGCGCTGTCTCCCTCCCTCTCGCACCCCTCTCAGCCGCCATCTTGGCGGCCGCCGCCATCTTTCCTTCCCCCCGCCGGAGCCGGGCAGGAGTAGCGGCGGCAGCAGCGCAGACCCCGCCATCTTTTCGGGGGAGCCGCCATACTTGCCCTGGCGATGAACATGGCGGCGCCCATCACACACATCAAAACATGGCCTCCCTTCAAAACAAAACTGTCCGAGGCGAACCGGGCAGCCGTCGGTGGGGCCCGGGACCCGGGGAGGGTGGGGTCTGGCGCGCACTTACCCGAGGCCCACATAGTGACCGAGAACTCCCCCTCCAGGGTCTTGATCTGCACCTGCTTCTGCTCCCATTTCCTGCCGCCGCCGCCCTCGGCCCCGCCGCCGCCTCCCCCGCTCAGGTAACTCTTCTTGCTGCTTTTCTTGCCGCTGCCGCCCTTCTTAACTCGGCCTCCTCCGCCGGCCGAGGAGGAGCCGCCGCCTCCGCTCTTGCTGCCGGCAGCGGCCACGGTGACCAGAGTCTGCTCGATGTACTCGTCCTCACCGGCGGGGGCCGGCACGGGGATGAGGATCTGATCCTCGAAGCCGTCGTCGGCTCGCAGTCCGTCCGAGTCATCTCCCCCAACCACCTCCTCGCGGGTCTGCACCAGGATCACCTCCTGGTGGTGGTGGTGCAGATGGAGCTGTCCCCCGCCGCCACCGGCCGCGCCGCCGCCCGCCCCGCTAGGGTCCCCGTCCGAGACTAGCGGCTGCAGCGCGATCATGGGCTGGTGGTGGTGGTAGTGATGGGGTGGGTGGTGCGGGCCGCACTCCTCGCAGCACTCGTCCTCGTCCTCCTCTTCCTCATCCTCCTCGCCGCCCACCACGGTGGTCTCGATGGTCTCAACCGGGATGGTTTCCACCTCGATCTCGTGCAGCTCCACGATCTCGGCCGGCATCTCCGAGCCGTCCGTGGCGATGTACAGGGTGTCTCCCGAGGCCATGGCGGGGCGAGGAGGGGGAGAGAGCTCCGCGGGCAGCGAGGGGACTCCGGTCCGCTCCCCTTAGCGGATGGTGGGGCTCGGGCTCCTCTCTCTTCTTCTTCTCCTCCCCCTTCCACACAAACACCAGCTCCTCACAGCCAGCGAGAGGGAGGCAGCCAGCCGCCAAATCCCGGCTACGTTCCCTCGCGAGACTTCCGTTGCTGCCGCCGAGACGGACCCCAGCCCCGGGAGGCCGCTGCCGCCGGGACCCGGCCCCCCCGCAGCCCAGCGGCCAATCGCACCGCCTGGCGCGCCCACGGCTCACCCAGGACAGCCAAGTAGCCTACGAGGGCGCGCCGTGCCGCAGCCGCCCGCCCCCATTTACTGCCACCGGCCTATGAAAGAGCGCTGCGAATACGGAGCGCACCTCCCGGCGCCGCGAAGCCAATCGGCCGGCGGCGGTGTCACCCTCCTGTTACCCCTTTGCTGCCCCGCCTCTCCCTTTCGCCCCTCCCCGCGCGGAAGCACCGCCCTGCCCCTCTGCCTGTGCAGGGTGACCGTCCCGTCTTCCCCTCCGCGGGGGCGCGCTTTGCTCCCCGAGGTGGCGCGCCTCCGCAGCGGCCGTTAATGGATGGGGCGGGGGCGGCGCGTGAGCCGTCTCGTGATGCGGAGGTTGGGGCTCCGTGCCTAAAACACAGTCCGCGAGCAGCGGCCGCGTTCTGGGCGTTTCCCAGCTGGGCTGAACCCGGGGCCCGGCCCTTGCCTGCCCTGCAGCCGACTGCTGTCGGTGGGGTCCCTCTGCGGGGCGGGCGGGCGCTGGCCCCGGGGGAGCGCTGGGCTAGGCATGCGCACTCGCCGGAGAAGCCTTGGGGTGGTGAAGGCGGGATCGCCTTGTTTGAATTCTGCGGTTGAACAGCTACGGGCAATTGGCAGCGTTTCTCTCTCCTCTCTTGGTGGTGGTGTGGGAGCAGCTTTGGGTACAGCGCAGCGGTTCCCTGCAGACTTCCTTCCAGTCGAACTTGCCCCGAAGCGAGTTGGTCGCTTTCGGAGCGCTGTCTCTCGGTTCCAGCTCGCCGGAAACGGCAGCGCGGTCCGAAGTCACAGCCCGTGGAGGAGATCACTAACCAAGTTCGTGTACTCGGTTACGCAGGTCTGGCCCCTTACAAGGCTAATAACCAAATGAGTGCAAAATGCACTCAATTTTTATTTTCATTTCCCACTACATCACTGCTTTGCTTGCTCATATCCCAAATTGCCAGGATACAGAAACCGATAAAAGATTCCTGCTAAGAAATACTTTCTTCTACCTCAGCATTAAGTGTTTTCAAGGTTAGTCTAGTCCAAGTCTCAAGACAGCAGTACTGAGCCTTGGGCTAATGATGAGATTAGGAAATCAAGTAATCAAAATAGCAACAAAATTACTTAACTTGTGTAGATCTGGGAATTCCTTCCCTCCAATCATATTCAGCACTCCCATTTTAACAAACTGCAACATGGGGTTTATCGTTGCAAAATTCCCATAAACTGAAAGGTTATTTTTAGATCCTGTAAATAGATTTCCAGGCTGTTACATATAAATTCTGCTTCTCTATCTGTACTTGGAAGGACGAACGTAAGAGTGTGGGAAAAATAGTGCTTGTGAGTTTTAAAAAACAGTATTTGAAAATTAGGATGAAGTCTCCATTGTACTGCAGTAAAAGTTAAGCATAATAAAAAATGGTGAGTCATTACAGAACTCTTTATTCATTTTTAATGGGAAAAATGCACAACTCACATACACTTTTTATTCTAAGCTTGTTTAGACAAAATAGTAGTCTCACCTACATGTTCAACGTGCACTCTGTTCTGCTCTTGAATTCACACCAGAGCTGTCATTTACTAGAGCAAGTGGGATCAGGCCCTGGGTTGATTATTTTGGGTGAAGGTGTTAGTGTAAATGAGCTTTGTCAAATATAGGAACAAAGTCGCAAGTTTCTCTTGTTTATCAATGTAATTTTTTGTCTGGGTTAGTGATAGTAGTTTAACAATTTTCTTATTTTCATTTTTGTGGTTTTATTGCAAACAAATATATAACTTTGGACAGAAAAGGCACTTTGAAGTTTGTAAGCATCAGAACCAACTTATTTTGAATATTGCTAGTGTTTTCTACTTTCCCCATACTTTGGCCTAAAACCAGTGTTTTAATATTTTGTTGCAACATTCACATTACGTTATTTTTCATTGAGAAATGTTACATGAAGCAAATACTCTTCATCAGATCTTGTGTTTTTTTCTATTATACAATTCTCTTCATCCCGAGCAAGATAATTTGCTTAACTTGCATGTGACTATTTTTCATTAAGTGCAAGAATTAGACAATTTTTCCAAATGCTTGGTGAGAAAACAAATACAAGCAAAAATAAAGATGTGCAAGCTGTCCAATGAAAAAGTGTTTAAAAGAAAATGCTGTCCTCTATCCAAATAGCAGCAGAATTTACTCCCTTGATAATCCCTTATCTTCCTGCCCTCCACACATCATTTTACTCCCCATCTTCAGAACTCCAGCTTGTTTCTCAGCCATATTTAAAAAGTCGGGGGAGGGGAGGCAGGGGAACTTTATTTAAAAAATTTAAAACCTTCAATTAGAAATAAAAGTTATTTTTAAGCTTCCATAACAAATAAGTTAATAAGAATATATATTCTTTACAAGCTCTAGATGCCTCAGATTTATCTGGTTTGTTGTTTTTGTTTTTTTTCTGGTTCCTTCCTTAAAATCTGCTGTAGTAAATTGTCATCCCCCATCAGTATGCAGAAACCAGCCTGGAAAAGAGGAGGCTGTGTGGAGACCTCATAGCAGCCTTCCAGTATCTGAAGTGGCTTACAAGGATGCTGGGGAGGCACTCTTCATTATGGACTGTAGTGATAGGACAAGGGATAATGGGCTCAAACTTAAACAAGGAAAGTTTAGACTGGATATAAGGAAGATGTTCTTTACTGTGAGGGTGGTGAGGCACTGGAATGGGTTGCCCAGAGAAGCTGTGAATGCTCCATCCGTGGTCCTGTTCAAGGCCAGGCTGGACAGAGCCTTGGGTGAGGTGGTTTAGTGTGAGGTGTCACTGCCCATGGCAGGGGGGTTGGAATTAGACAATCTTAAGGTCTTTCCAACCCTAACCTATGATTCTCATTTCATACTGCAGAAACTAATTGTTCTAGCCTATTACACCTGTATCAAGCCAAAACTAGGTAACTGTTCTTTTAAATAAGAATTACTTCTTAAATACATAAGCTGTTGTATTTTAAGAAAACGAAGCTCACAGAAAATAGGTTAGTCTTACGCAAAGTATGAAAGAATGAACACAAATATCACTTATTTTCTAAATTTCTTTTTGTTTTAGTCATATTCCTTTCCCCTTCAGCTTACATGGAAGTGAGAAAGAGAAAGAAATTTGAAGTGTGAAACTTGAGAAACAAGTGACCTTTTCATAGTCATCATCTACAATCTCCTCTTTTGCCTCTAATGGGGTCAACATACCCTTTTCCCAATTTGTTTCACTCAGCCATTCAAATCCACTGATTTGGAAACTTCTGATACCCCATTTTTTTCTTCTCATTCTCACACAATTTGCCTGATGCTTGATCAGAAAGATTAGCCCTCCTATTGTAAATCGACACCAATAAACTAAACTGATAATACTTACCTATCTAGTTAAATATGTCATGAATAGCTTTAAAGGTGGTTTTGCTCTTTCATAAAGAAGACCAGATATAGAGTCACTTAACGGAGGAAAAGAAAATCAGTAGTTTATAATAAGTTGCTCTCTTCTTAACACCTGTTAAAAACCTAGGTAAGACAAATCAAGAAGTTCTGCCAGTTTAGGACATCAGGTTTTCCTTCTGCATCTGGAATGGCTTATTAATCAATTAAAACAGGAGAAATCTTGAAGAAAAAAGACAAAAATCTCAGAAAATCTAAAGTAGGATTTCCGGTGCCATTAAGGCAATTCACTAATAAATGTGTTAATTAGCTATGCCACCCTTTCCCAGAGTCCTTGTCCTAGCTCTTTGCAGCTCTGTAAGAAATTCAGTTTTAACTTTACCTTTATAGTCCTCTATAATTTAGCCTCCTTATCTTCAGCTGATCTAATATAGCTACCACCATGCCTGGCCTTTATGGCCCACTAGCTTCTGCCACAGATTTCCCTGCCCTCTCTCCTCAGACTGCTAGTTAAACATGAGGGAAATCCCTGATCCCAATTTATGTATGGACTCCTACAAAACACATTTACAGGTCCATTATGAGCGTAAGGTTCTGCTTGCTGACCATGCCTAGGAACAAGCAGTGAATTCTGTGTGCACCTCTTTTTCTCTGTTTGTTCCCCTGGTGCTTTTAATACTGTTTTCTTTGCTGTACCACATCCTACTTCAGATTCCCCTTCTAAAAATAAACGAAGCAGCTAACAAACCTACACCAACCAGTTTGCTGAGATTTATTGCGCTCTTCTCCATTTGTCGTCTGCTTGCATCTTTTAGACTGAGCAAAGCAAGGAAGGGCTTTCTCTCATCTGTAATCTTGCAGAGGGAGGGAGATAGGACTTGCACTGCCACCATTCCAAACTAATTTCCAAGTTATGGTCACTTGACAACCCAGTCTCATTAAACAGGTTTTGTTGTAAGGACAAGATCATGTAATTTGTTTTTCTGACTCTATGAAAGGATACATGAATCAGTGGGCCTAATCCTTGCCCCAGAAACATTTAACCCTTTAATTGTGTTTGGAAAGCACAAATAATTATTATTGAGTTGTAAAGCTGATGATCAAAAATGTAGGTTTTCTCCTCCGTTCCTGATTTGATGGTTCAGGATACGAAAGTACTCTTCCAAAAATCCTCAGCCTTCTTAAACTTATCAACATAGGATGTGTGTAGACATCTGAATAGTTTATATCTTGTAAATCGTGGACAACACAAGATGCAGAAGCTTCTGGGAAATAATATGTCATGATACATGAAATCATGACAGCATAGGCAATATGTGTGCATTTGTGTCCTAACTGCTCATTCTACACGCTGGGAGCAAACCTACAGCTCTCATCCATCCGTCCTGTTGTCTTACAGACTTCCTAGCCCTCCTCCTGCATGTGTGTTTGCTTGGGTTACAGACGCCAGACATGATGCTGGGAAGTGCTGAGCTCTGAGCTTCCATTAAAGTCACCAGGTATTGATAGATCCCAGTAGCACTAAGAAAAAAATACCCCTAGAGTTCATATTACATTTTAAAAGAAAAATAAATCTCGGATTGAAATGAATAAGGGTAAATAGTTGGAAATAAATAAGATTATAAATTGCTGCAGTCTCAGTGAAAGCCCAAGGGCAAGTATGCTTTTCTTAAATCAGCTTATCTAGATTTCTACATGGCAATAGACACTGTGACTCAGTTTTCTCTGACAGTTTGTTAAAGTCTGAGTATAAAAACTCATACTCCTTGGGCGTAACCAAATCTGATCAATATTTTCTTTCTAGAGTGCTTATAATAGAAGGATTTATAACCCAAACTTATTGGTGGAAATATTGTAATTTTACTTCATGGTTTTATAGTCAAATCCTAGTCCATTCTGGAGGGGACTGTATGTGTTGCTACAATATAAATACAGGCTAAAAATATTTCTCTTGAGCAAAAAAACAGAGACTGTATGACACAGTCTATACATTTAGCACAGTTTGTTATCAAAGTTGTTCTCCAACTGTTCCCTGCAGAGGGAATTCCTCCCATACTCCCATCCACACATTGACACAACTAGCCATTTTCAAGTGGCTTTTTTTCCCCTCTACTCTAAGCTCTGACTTCAAGAGGTTGAACAAAGGCCCTCTCTTGACCCCATGTCACTCCTATTGTCAGAGTGAGCTCAGCAGCACTGAAATGAATCAGGTTTAAGTGTATTGGGTTGAAACCTGAGTGTTAGGAAGGGTGTTTGAAAGAGGAGATCTGCTCTGGTTAACTGTGTCCCAGAAAGAACTGCCGTACCTTTGGTTTGTGGCAGCATGGGGTTCTAGAGGAGAGACTCATCAATGCTTAGAGGGGGAGGAGAGAAACCCGGTGTTAATCCGATGCCTTTCTTCACAGCACTGACATCTTTTCATAAACGTGACACTCTGTATGAAAAGGAAAGCCCTTAGGTTCTCATGTTAGGATAATCAATTACAAGTGTTGATACTTTTTGTATATAGCATTTTTGCTGTGGGAGTCTAGTTAATATACTCTGTTCAGGTATTTGTACTACGATGCTCGTGAAACTGTTCCTGACATGCCAAGATTGCAGGGAGTGTAGGGTAAGCTACTCATAGGATAAGTACTTCTGGTGTGAACAGCAAATACATGTCATTGTGAAAAGCAATTGCAAATGCTTTGAACAATATAAACCACTCTGTGTAGTAACTTATATTCCAGAAAGATTGTGATTCTTTGAGAAAGCTAAGAAGCATAAGAGTAAAAATGTAACATCAGAAAAAAAAATTTTAGAAGAAGAAATTGTTTCCATTTGAATTTTCAGAAGTGGTCCTGAACACATTCAGTATTTGGTCATTAATTGCAGAAGACCTACATCTGCTAAACTTCAGTTGGATGGGGCTTTGATCGGTCTGGTCTGGTGGTAGGTGTCTCTTTCTGGCAGGGAGTTGAAACTAGGTGATTTTTAAGGTCTCTTCCAACCTGAACCATCCTATGATTTTAAAATTCTTTAAGCACGTATTTCTAAAGGAGATGAGAACACCTGAGTGCAACCAACTCACATCTATTGCTCCTGTGAGATTAGCCTTTCGTCATCTGTAGTCTCGCCTTTTGCTAGCTTCCATTGCATCCACAGGACAACGAGACTTGCTGGAATAAAAGAAAACGCATAGCTGTAGCAGGCAAAGCACGCACAGCATTACTACTCACGGCCCGGAGGTGGTTCCCAGGGGTTTCACCTCCAGGATCCCGCACACGCAGTACCCCCGCGTGGTCCCACCGGCTGAGGTAAGATGCTCTTGTGCGAACCGTGGGGTGAGGGCAGTGCAGGGCGCAGCAGGCCAGCCCAGCCTGCACCCTGCCTGCCCGTTGCCCGCCCCCCTTCAGAGCGGGGCTCCGCGGCCGCTGGGAGCGCCCGGGCCCGACGAGACGCTGCAGTGGCGGCATGGTGCCGGCAGGGGGCGGCCTGCGCTCGCAGTAGCCGTTGGGCGGGGCGTTGGCCGCTCCGCGTTAGCTGCGGTCCCGGCCGCGGGAGGGTGTCTCTAGGCGCGGCACTAGGCGGTGGCCACACTCCGGGCTCGGGCCTTGCGGTGGGCGAGCGCTGTGCGCACAGCAGTGCGGGGCTGGGTGACAGCAAGGGACGGCAGGGGTGAGCTGGTGGTGTAGGGAGCTGTTTCTGCCTTGGAACCTCGCCTTTCGTTCTGGGAGCTCCCGGGCAGAATCGCCGTGCACCAGCCTGCATCCTGCAGGATTCGTTGAGAGCTGGCCAATTGTGGCTTGGTGAGAACCGACATGAAAGGTCCGCGTCGCAACCCGGCGGGTTACATATAACAGAACTAAATGTATCTAACAACTTACACCGGCAACAGGAAGACATCTTCCTCCCCCTAAGATTCTGTTGCACCAGCTCCGTAACACCTTTGTTCTGGTGTCACGTTATCCCAGTGGGAAGAAAAAGGCAGAACTGGCCAGGGAAGGGCCAGCGCAAGTAAGAGGGGAATCAGAAGATACGACTTGTTGGCAAATTATTTCCCCTGAGTGAACTCTGGTGGGAGTGTATGTTGATGATGTGGCTCGCTGACAAATTCCACTGCCTATGAAAAATTGACTTTGTGCAGTAGAGTGCATCACATTGTAAATGTCGCTAGTTACATCAACACAGAGCATGACACCAGTTTGAAATGACTGCAGGATGTTTTCTAAACATACGAACATACAGCTATGTTTTCTTCAGGTAATCAATTATGAAGGCAGGTGCAATTTATATGGGCAGAGAAGAATCTAAATAATGTAGGAACTGAAAATACAAGCTTGTCATCAGACATGGAGCTCTTTATTCTAGAGGAGGAAATACTTACTCGGAGACAAAATTGCCAGACAACTTTGTTTTACTTCCAGAACATTAAGTTTAATCTCTGGCAACCAGAAGAATAGGAGTTAAGGCCTGCACACCAGGGCAATAGCCATTGGGAAACGTGCAGGTGTTCCTGCTATATTTACTGCGTCACCTGTTACTTTAGTAAGTGGATGGAGGAGGTTGCTGGGTTGCATACAGAAATACATTCCTGTTGGAAGTCAGCTGGTGGAAAGCCACCTTTCGGTGGGGAAGCATGAGTTTGCCTGGCCGTGTGGAAGAGAGGACCAGGAGTCTTGTTTCAGAGCTGCATATTGTAGGTCATGGCCTCAGTGCAGCAAAGGATTTTTGGTTTTTGTTTGGTTTTTTTTTTTTACCATGGAAATTGCCAGCTGGGATGCTGAAGGTGAGCATGATGTGTACTTGAAACAAGGTAACGAGGTAGATGAGATATTTGGTGGTACCCACCATAGTGTCAACAGTTGTGCTCCTTTTGTTGAGCGTGTTAGGAATTTCTCTCAGGTAGGCTTCCCATACAGACAGAAATCCTGAACCCGTATAGGAAATTGCTGAAGAAAGGAAGGCTACAGCTGGGAGAGCCTGTATGAAGCACATTTGAATTGCCATAAAGTGTAGCGAGTATATGAACCTATGGAGTTCACAGTCAGCATTCATTAAAAGGGCAATTATTGCCAGGTGACATTAAAATACCCCTTCTCCTTCCTTTGTGAATGATTGTAAGCCTGTTTGCACTTTACTAGGGTGCTATAAAACTAAGGATACTAAATGGTCAGAGCTGAACGATAGGTCTTCCAACTCTAGAAAGTGGTCTACAGCCAACCTTTCTCATTTGTCTGGCATTCACAATTACTCTGAAATTAGTATAATTTGTTTGGCTTATTATAGAAAAATAAAGCATGAAATTCTATTCTCAAAAAGAGATGGCAACTCACTGGAGGCAGAAAAGCTTTCTGTTCTTCTGATGTGGTTAGGCTGAGGCTATAGTAATAAGCTACATGAAGACAATGCCATTGCCTGCAAAGGAGATACTTAACTTTCCATGGAGACTTACCATATGCAATAGCACTAGCCTATTGGATAAACTTCTGGGGATTAAGTCATATTTGTTTTCTTTGCAACTGCATGGACTGCCCCACTAATTTGGGTTTTTAGTCACCTTGAGCACTCCTGAGCAGGAATTGACAGAAAGGTGTCATCACATTCATGTTGTCATTGGCTTCTCCTCCGAAACTGAGCCAATTAAAGGTTTAGGCTGAGATACCCTAATTCATTCCTTACAGAGACATGCAATAACTTTAACTTGGGTTAGCAGTCCATTAACTGGGTTGGGCCCTACAACTTTATGGGAGAACATCAACCTTATGCTGGAGGAGAGGTGAAGAAACCATTGTACCTACAGAGAGCTGACCTTTAAAAGAAAAGTGGTTGAACTCCTGCTCTGGGTAGAGCTGCTTACATTTACCGCATACTCCTTCCACTGAACCTTCTTTGAACATTAAACATTCAAGGGTTTGTATTTAGACCACTTCAGGAAAAAAATATAAAAAATTGAAAGAAGCCTCCAAAAATTTTCTAGCAGTCAAGAGGCAGGGTTTGGGGCTTGGGGTTGTTTTTTGGTTAGCGGTTTTTAACCCATACCATTTATGTGACTGTGCTACCAAGACATCTTAAATATCTAAACTAGGCTAAAGTAAGAGGTGACAGTATTGTCAGTGTTTGCAGGCAAAAGTTATTGCTGAAAAATATTCACATTTCAGATTTGCAAAGCTGCATTTTTGCCCCTTTTCACTTCTAGGCATGATAGGCATTGGTAAGGGTAAGAGAGTAGGGAGGGGGCTAAAGGATTCATGAAACAGAACGAAACAAAGTTGTCTTCAGAGGATGAAGCTGACGCAAATGGGATGCTGTCAGTGGTAGGAATAATGATTAGGGATAGCAAACGCTGCAGATGGACAGTGGGTCAGGTATGGGCTTGCAAAAGAGCATAGTGGGAACAAGAGCAACACTTTAATTTTGGGTTGGGTGTGTGGAGAAACATCACCATGTAACTCTTTGTGAATCAGAGAGGCTAAAGGAGTTAGAAAGCTTGCCTTAGAGTTTAAGGTTAGCAAGTCCT